TATAGGCCCGGCTGTAGTGTCCGGGCCGAGTGGCGAGGCAAAGGCCACGGCGGCCGTCCGGCCATGGCGTCCTGAGTTCCCTGCGCCACCATGGTACCCTGGACTGCCTGATCCGCCCTGGAGGTATTCCCTGTGTCCCAGTCCTGCACCAGCCTCCAGGGCGCCGCCCCCCCCCTGGTGGAATTGTTACGGCACGGGACATGCCAACAGGGAAGGGGGAGTAATGTCAGCGAATCACCAGCCTTTGGATTCCATGTCCCAGAATCCTCCCCAGCTCACACCGGTTCTCAGTCACGATCACCATCACCTGAGTTCTGATTCCCCGCACCTGTCATCTGCAATCAAGTCACCATTCATAAGCACGCTCTTTCCAGTCACTCACCGTCCGGTCTACCGTTCACTACACAGAACTTCACCAGACTCACTGAATGCAACGTCCCTGTTTATTCTTACCTCTAGTTCTCTGAAGATCTTCCATCGTTGTTCTCCTCTGCTCCCGGATCCCGTATTCTAAAAACATCAATAAACCTGCCTTTCATTCACTTGCCTGTTGTCTCCGGCTTGATCTGTGACAATGAGATTGTATCAAGATACTGCAAAACATGTTTTTTAAAAGCGCATTGTTACAATCACCATCCATTGTATTTCATTTTCTAGATGTTGAAGTGTAGACAGTGTAACACCAATATACTGTACACTTTGAAGTGACAAACTGGAATACTTGTAGCATACAAAATGTAAACGCAGCATACAAGGACACTCTCAGTGAGCTTGTGCTTAACTATGAATCTGTGTAATTTACAGTGACCGCTTTATAGTTCAATGGAAGCATTCTAGTATTTTTGCTTTGCACACACTTTGTGTGACTCTTTTTTTCCCCCAAACCAGTTAAGTGCAAACCATGTCCCGCAGCCTATTCTGAAGATTTTATTGGTCATATCAATCATAGTGATGACTGCACATGCACAGCGTTGTGCAATTTCTCAAGCTTTCAGGAATTCAAAGTGCATCCGAGTACATTCACACAATCAGATGTTCACTCACTGTGTGTAGTCCAGGCAGAGAGTGGTGAGGTAGCTGATGCCTGCAGCCTTGCCCAGTTTTTCCAGAGACCCTTCAGTTAGTTTGCAATCAAGTAGCTCCAGTGATTTGAAGGGATAAACTGTCCTCCCCCTCTTCTCCAAAAGAAGACACTGTCAGAACAAACACGTGCATTAAATTATACAGCTGAGTTGGTGAAATGCCTCTCATGTGGTGAATTGACAATCATGGATTTTACAATTACTATTCTGCACACAGTCACCTGCATTTACATTAAAACAATGTGCTGGCAGCCACCCATAACACTTTGTGATGGTGAGTTTTGCACATGCAGACAACACATACTTTTTCTACAGAAAATGTCCAAATTTGTTTCATTCAGTGCAACTTCATTTCATTTTTCTTTTAATAATACAACTGTTTCTTATGCACACAACAGAAAGACCACATGATCCATCATAGTCATAGAGATTTAAGGCTGGTTTGCGCACTCACAGTCACTGCTAAGCAATTAGGAAGACATCACTCAACTGGCTTAATGAAATAAATACACAGAGATCAAAGATGCAGTTCTTGACAAAACAGCTGTGTGTAATCGCTATCCAACTGTGAGAAAAAGAATAATTACATACAGGTATCTATTGTAGCCTATATGAAGCTCCCCTCGAACGCCATTCCATAGATTAGTGATGATCTACAGTAGAAAAAAAAAAACTCCCAGAATCTCATCAACATCTTAAAAATGATCGAGGACCCCTTATAGAACTCTCAGGCACGTATTGTTATAACCATCTGACCGGCACATATAAAGCTGTGTATGTGTCAAATTTATATGTTAGATTATCCTAACAGCATTCAAGTGCAGAACTTCAATTGCATGCTTATCCACCATATTGTTTTCCTTACATTCATTGTCTGCAGGTCAGTGGCATATGGCAGTGATTTTCACAGCATCAAAGCTGTTCTGGAAGTAAATCTCACCCTTTAATTGGACAGATTTTTCCGATTTATATGAGCTGAAGTGTGAACATGTTGCCCCTGGAAGGGAATGAAAATGGGTGTGGACCGCAGGATAATAAAAGTGTGTCAGTAGCCATAACATACAACCAGCAGAAGCATGCGCTGTCTGAAGAGGGGCCTTTTCAACGGCTATACAGTGTGGTTTAGGAAATGAGTGGTTTATGAAACACTATGATATTACAGCATAATTTTGCTAAATTGACACAATTTTGGAAACAGAAACTTGGCCATTTCTATACATTTAAGAGGTGATCCATGGTTGATTTGTTGGTTTTAAACCTGAAGTATACTTCTAAAATATACTTCTCCATCAACTCAGAAGTTATTGATTTGATGGATTTTTCATGTAACTTATTTATTGTGAAGTTGAAGTGTGCTGTTTGAATTTGATTTTAGTAATGCTGTGCATTTTATAATATTATCTACATCTACAGTTGAAATTAAAATATGAGGGCCACTGTTCTCCAACTAAAATTAAACACCTGAACAATTTAAACTAAGTCTTCAAGTTCCAAGTTCCACATTAAGATCTACAGGACAGTGTCTTTCCTGGAGCAGAGTTGATCTGTAACCTACTAGGCTATTTTCAGATTGAGGGCCTTGGCACTCAAAGCCCCCATTGGCTCAAAACAAATCTGAAAAATTGTAAGACACTGCAAGTTGGCTTCAAATGTTTGCTGATAGGCCTACATAATGTATATATCAGTTTTAAATAAATAAAAAAATATTGTTTATCATGTGATGTCATCTCTCAGGTTTCTGTCAAGTTCCTACAGAAGTTACACGTCTTATAGTGCTGGAAAAATAATCTGAAATTTGGCAGTAGCTGAGTAAATCTCATCTTCATTGCGTCTTCATGGGTTTGACAACCCGCCATAGCCTCAGAGGTATTGCGGTTCTTGTTGAAAATACAGACCAGTATTTTCAACAAGAACGTGTTGAAAAACCTTTAATCAAGAAATCAATTCCATTATGCAAATACTGTCCCTTAATGGAAAAGTTCATTTCTGAACCTGCATAAAAGCCTGCATCATGAAATTGATCCTAAAAGAAATACAGATTAATGTTTTTAAAGACATCTAATTCTCTTTACATTTTTATTGTCTTAATTATGTAAAATGGTGTGGAAATGCACAGGCAAAAAGAATGTGAATTATGGAAAGGGAGAAAGAGAAAGCAGGTGCATTTAACATGTAAAGCCAAAATGTTTTGCAACAAAATGCAGAGATGACAGAAAAAAATATTCTGGAATCTGAAATTGTTGTGTAATGCAGAACTCTTTCCAAAGCTCAACTGATCCGGTGTTAAGATAAAATGTTAACAGTTATGCCTCATTACCATTTACTGCTGAAATAAAGGACATATCTTACTGTGAATGATGTGGCTGAACAAAAAAAATTTTTTTGCACAGGAAGGTTTGGGTTGTATTGCAGCAGACTTGGCTGCCCTGTTGTACTCTTTCTCTCTCTTGTGTGCTGGAGCAAGCATCCTGAGACTACAAGATTTTGCATAACTGCCAATCACAAAACTAGGATATACAGTAAAGTGGGATCGGTGCTCACCAGCTCAACTATATCTTTTTGCTTGAGAGACAGACTCCAGATGTGGAATTCTTGTGCATGTGTGTAACGCTCATCTCGTATAGCCATTAACAGAGGCTGAAGGCTGGGGAGAACAGTGTCTGAAGGCCCACAATCTGGAAATGACAGCATTATCTACAGGAGAGGGAGAGGGACAGACAGAGGCAGTGAGTGGGAAGGAGATGCATGCAGTAGACATTTTAACAGAACATTAATAAAAAGGGAGTCTCATTAAATCTGTCAATGCACATGTCCATTTCAACCCAAAAGCGGGGTGAGGGGGTGGGGGGTGGTGTGGTGGGGGTCTCATCGAGAAATCTCATTGGTTCCCGCAGATCATGTGACTAAACCGTCTTTAGGTGGTTAACACTTTGATTTAAAAGTGAATAAAGGCTTACATTTGAATCCGTTCATCATACACTTCATGGCTTCAAGAAGACTCATTTAAAATTAAATCCAATGAACATTTTACACTCTAAAAAATGCTGGGTTAAATATAACCCAGCATTTTTTAGAGTGTACTCTTTAAGTTTATGGAAATTAGAAAATAATATTGATGCCCATTGTTTTTAAAAATCAATTTTTATAACACTTTCTGTAAGAAACTCCGGTGACCGTGATTTCACCAAGTGCAACATGTTCCTGGATCAACATCCTTGTTGATCCTGGAATAACATTCCAATGAACCAATCAGAATTGAGGGATTAGTTTTCAAGAAATGTCAGTTTTAGGCTTACAGTCAGGGTTAGATGCTTCTACACCCTCCTTATTCACCTATCATTTCCCTCTGATTTTAGGACTAAATTATGGGTAGGTTTAGGTTTAGGGGTAGGGATTGGGTTAGGTCTATATTTTTGGACAGTAATGTTGATCCAGATATTGATCCAGGAACATGTCTTACGTGGCAAAATCACGGCGACCAAGAAACTTCCTCTTTTAATGAAGTCAATTAACGTTCTGAAAAATGTAAAAGGCACATCTGGGGAAGTACTATTTGTATTTGGCGTCTTGTGTCATATTTTGGCTCTACATATTTGCAGTTACAAGCCTATTTTATGTATAGCTGCTATCAAGGGAGTAGGTTTGCTTTTGACATTGGTGGGGACATAAACCCAAGGAACACAACTTTCATGCGCATCTGATTGACAGATAAACCGCACGCTCTTATTTTTTCATTTTGTGGATATTTCAGCTAACAGTTTGATTTGTACATTCAGTTGAGCAACATTAATTTAAAGTTAAAGACTGTCCGCAGCGGCTCAGGATGCTGTTCCAAATCCTGCTGCACCACAGAGTATTTTTTAGAGTGTACTCTTTAAGTTTATGGAAATTAGAAAATAATATTGATGCCCATTGTTTTTAAAAATCAATTTTTATAACACTTTCTGTAAGAAACTCCGGTGACCGTGATTTCACCAAGTGCAACATGTTCCTGGATCAACATCCTTGTTGATCCTGGAATAACATTCCAATGAACCAATCAGAATTGAGGGATTAGTTTTCAAGAAATGTCAGTTTTAGGCTTACAGTCAGGGTTAGATGCTTCTACACCCTCCTTATTCACCTATCATTTCCCTCTGATTTTAGGACTAAATTATGGGTAGGTTTAGGTTTAGGGGTAGGGATTGGGTTAGGTCTATATTTTTGGACAGTAATGTTGATCCAGATATTGATCCAGGAACATGTCTTACGTGGCAAAATCACGGCGACCAAGAAACTTCCTCTTTTAATGAAGTCAATTAACGTTCTGAAAAATGTAAAAGGCACATCTGGGGAAGTACTATTTGTATTTGGCGTCTTGTGTCATATTTTGGCTCTACATATTTGCAGTTACAAGCCTATTTTATGTATAGCTGCTATCAAGGGAGTAGGTTTGCTTTTGACATTGGTGGGGACATAAACCCAAGGAACACAACTTTCATGCGCATCTGATTGACAGATAAACCGCACGCTCTTATTTTTTCATTTTGTGGATATTTCAGCTAACAGTTTGATTTGTACATTCAGTTGAGCAACATTAATTTAAAGTTAAAGACTGTCCGCAGCGGCTCAGGATGCTGTTCCAAATCCTGCTGCACCACAGAGTGCCACTTACATAAGTTTTACCATAAAATCACATTGGATTTATCCCAAATTATTGTTTATGTTCATAATGACTTTATCCTAGGCTGGAAGATTGTGTATCTTTCTGTCTGTATGCTTTATATAGGGAGCTAATAATAGCCATAGATTGCGCTTTCTCTTTCTCTTTCCGTTTGCTCTTTTGTCAAACATGCAACTTTGTTGATTCCTAAAGGGAACATCTATATTATCTGTTTTGGACTGCTGCAATACAATACCTGTGAGTTGTTCTAAACGCGGCGCTGCATTCCGCCCATGTATTAAATGCGTGTCCTTGAAAGCGCGCAGTTTTCTAGCTTAGCTTATTACTTGACCTTCTTAGGCTATATCAATGGTATGATTTCACACTTGAAAGGTTTGAAGCACTTTCTTAACATGGACAAAGAACATTTGACTTTCATAACATAGACAAAAGCAGCTTAAACATAAGAATTGAGGGATTAGTTTTCAAGAAATGTCAGTTTTAGGCTTACAGTCAGGGTTAGATGCTTCTACACCCTCCTTATTCACCTATCATTTCCCTCTGATTTTAGGACTAAATTATGGGTAGGTTTAGGTTTAGGGGTAGGGATTGGGTTAGGTCTATATTTTTGGACAGTAATGTTGATCCAGATATTGATCCAGGAACATGTCTTACGTGGCAAAATCACGGCGACCAAGAAACTTCCTCTTTTAATGAAGTCAATTAACGTTCTGAAAAATGTAAAAGGCACATCTGGGGAAGTACTATTTGTATTTGGCGTCTTGTGTCATATTTTGGCTCTACATATTTGCAGTTACAAGCCTATTTTATGTATAGCTGCTATCAAGGGAGTAGGTTTGCTTTTGACATTGGTGGGGACATAAACCCAAGGAACACAACTTTCATGCGCATCTGATTGACAGATAAACCGCACGCTCTTATTTTTTCATTTTGTGGATATTTCAGCTAACAGTTTGATTTGTACATTCAGTTGAGCAACATTAATTTAAAGTTAAAGACTGTCCGCAGCGGCTCAGGATGCTGTTCCAAATCCTGCTGCACCACAGAGTGCCACTTACATAAGTTTTACCATAAAATCACATTGGATTTATCCCAAATTATTGTTTATGTTCATAATGACTTTATCCTAGGCTGGAAGATTGTGTATCTTTCTGTCTGTATGCTTTATATAGGGAGCTAATAATAGCCATAGATTGCGCTTTCTCTTTCTCTTTCCGTTTGCTCTTTTGTCAAACATGCAACTTTGTTGATTCCTAAAGGGAACATCTATATTATCTGTTTTGGACTGCTGCAATACAATACCTGTGAGTTGTTCTAAACGCGGCGCTGCATTCCGCCCATGTATTAAATGCGTGTCCTTGAAAGCGCGCAGTTTTCTAGCTTAGCTTATTACTTGACCTTCTTAGGCTATATCAATGGTATGATTTCACACTTGAAAGGTTTGAAGCACTTTCTTAACATGGACAAAGAACATTTGACTTTCATAACATAGACAAAAGCAGCTTAAACATACCTCAAAATATCTTTTGTGTTACGCACTACATAAAGAAAAGCTTAGGAGTTTTGAACGCCATGACAGAATAAAGTAAATTATGACAGATTTTTCATTTTTGAGTCAACTGTTGCTTTAAGTCTCTTTCGGTAATATTGACAGAACCATTTTGGGACCTGAATAACTTTTCCGTTCCCAGCCGACTTCATTAGTCAAATTACCTTTTTGAGAGGCTCCTGTCTGTCGATTTGGTGAAGGATGTCCTGTCTGAGCACTGCACTGGGACAGCTGTTAGTCCGCGTGCAGTGATGCTCGTATCTTCTCCAGAGCGCGCGGAGCTGCACCACTTCATCATCGGCGGCGCTCAACACTGCAGACTGCGCCTTTCGCATTACGATACTAAACACTTTTCGGAAATTAATTAATTAGTAACAGTTGATATGTTGACGTTAGAGTTTATCTAATGAATTGAATGCTGTGCACTGAAACATGTCTATTGGCAACTTTGTTGTTTTGGAACGTGTCAGCGCTCTACAGAGCACTGTCTGTTGTAGCAACACCAAAAGGCAAACAAGCTAGACCCTCCCTCCGCCGATACACTTCATGTACTGTGTTTAGAGCCCGGTCTCATGAAAATGCGTATAAATAGTACGCCAAATAAAAACGAAAACTCGTGGTATTGATACGCAAAAATGGACTTTGGCGTGCATATGATACGCAGTTTTCGCGTGCATATGATACGCAGTTTTCGCGTGCATATGATACGCAGTTTTCGCGTGCATATGATACGCAGTTTTCGCGTGCATATGATACGCAGTTTTCGCGTGCATATGATACGCAGTTTTCGCGTACATATGATACGCATCTACCCCACAACCCTAAACCTACCCATCGCGTAGCATATACACGCCAAAGTCAATTTTTGCGTATCAATACCGGGAGTTTTCGTTTTTATTTGGCGTATTATTTATACGCACTTTCATGAGATCGTGCACGTTAAAGTTAAATTGCCATAATTTAGCCTACCCTCGAGTCTGTGAAACGTAAAAGGCAATAGCATACATGTTGTCATGTTTGACTGAGGTAAAAGGGAGTTATGTTATGGCAGGAAGGTGAATAAATAGTTAGTAAATTTAAATCTTTGGGTGAACTAATTCCTCGAATGTATTTATTTTGTATCGAAATCTTATGGGGTGTCAGTGTTGTATAACAGACCAAAAAATGATAGGCTATGCCAGACAGAACATTGCACAACTTCTTATAAGGGACATTCTACCAGAAACGTACATTTACACTTGTAAAAATCTTGGGTGAAAAAAATATCGTATTCTTAAATCTGAACGTTGAGTCATATGGAGCACATTTTAATCTATATGAAACACATATCATGCCATCTCAGAATGTTTTTATGATTGAAATAAATACATTTTTATATGCATATTTTCACCCGTAAAATGTCAGGCCCTGTCACAGACCCATTTTTATATGTTAGAATGGTTTCCTAATGAATTTCTTTGATACAAATAGCATTTTCTTATTGGTCACATGTCCCTGATTGTATCTAACATGGTTTTGTGATTTCTATAAGAAATATAAGCAACTTTTCGGTCAACTGTAGTACACAAAATCACAGAATACCCCGCCAGGCACTCATATAGTTGTAAAAAAACTGCCTTTACATAGGAGATTTTTTCAAAAACATAGTAGTGGATATAAACTCCAACCTTCATCTACACAGTTACAGAGATTAATTCATCAATATTTCCTCAAATATTAAATTTTTATAACAATTTCCTGTGTGACAGGACTGACCGAGGCATGACAGGACTGACGGTGCTGTGACAGGACTGACTTTATGGATTTCATTGATGCAGAAAAAGTTATGTTTTGTGTTCTTTATTTAAGTTTTGATAAGCATTCCTATTTTAAATTATTATTATAATTTTAATGTTAATGTAATATTAGACTATGGTAAAGTTCAGCCAAGGACATATAATAAGGGCCTAATTCATTAGAATATGACTGACAAATTAATAAACTCATTTCATTTTATTTCAATATAAAAACATATTTCATTTAACAATTCATTAAAATTCCATTTAACAATAACATGGTCAGATACAATAAATATAAACAACTAGAATTGCACAATGGCACAAACACAGACAGAAGTGAAAACAAAATTGTAATGGTACTACTACTATGTTAAAATTAATTTAACAATAACAATTACCAACTTGAATGGCACAAACTCAGAGAGGAGTGAAAACAATAACCCCGTGTTGTGCTACACGTACGCGGGTGTAATAAATATAAATATAACTTCATAATATATAAAGTATATTTTATTATGATACAGCAAATGTATAGACATTTAACTGAATAGCACAAAGTAAAGTAACTGTGGTACCACATAATATTACGGCTCAGTAATAACAGGGCAATACAATGGTAATATCTGCATTATTACTTAGGAAATTACATGGTAATAACGAAAATTGCATGGCATTTCCTAGGTAATAATGTAGATATTACCATGGTATCTGTATGAATTGGAATAATTACAGTCATCATTACTCAAAGCTTATATAGATGACAATTACATCTATATATGATGAGTTTATTTGCAAAAAACAACAACTCCATTTTTAGAAATTTTCAAAAATCATGTTTTTTATTATGTAATCATGTTTTTATTGTGTTTTATTGTGTCAGTTAGCTGTAATTATTAGTTATGTTTTAACCTAATCAAAATAACCCAACTAAAGTTTGATTGAGATTAATTGGAATGCGCAATGAAAAAACATGATTTCAGAGAATTGTTAAAAATGGAGTTATCTGTTTTTGCAAATAAACTCTTCATATGTATTGAAATATAATTAATATACAAAGTGCAGTGCTACATAGGCCTAGGTAAAAGAGCGATACAATTTAAAAAATTTGTCTGAGCATAAAAAGCTTCAGATTTACAGTGTAATGTCTATTTATTCAAATAATGTTTTACTATGGCATGCGTTAAATACATATTATATGCAATTAAGGTAATAAAAAACAACAATGCCATTAATTTGTAAGGCAGTGTCACAGGACTGTCAGGTTGATTTAAAAGATTTAAACCGTGAAATTTAAACCAAAAAAAAAAAACATACAAAAACAAGCTTAAAATCATACAATTCAATGACAGAACTCACCCTTGATCAGTGTCAGCTTCACCTCAGTCAAATTATGTCACTTCCTTTGAGTCATACCTTTAAAGGCGCATTACACACATTTTATGTTGAGTTTTATGTAAACGTGACAGGACTGACCGAAAACATGGGGACAGTTGTAAAGTAGAATTTATTTGAAGAATTTATGTATAATTTCATGTTTTTAATCAGTTGATGTGAATGATAACAACTTAAACTTGTTATTGATGGAGTTTTTTTTCCTAAATAACAGTTTTTAGCATAACAAAACTATGAAAGCTGTAGGTCCAATTTGGCTGAGGATAAGGACAAGGACAGGATTTGTAATTTCCCAAAGTGTTTTTAATAAATTAAAAAATATCTGAGAACCTAATGAATGACATATTCCTTTACAGAACAACTCACAGAAATCAACCATCAGTCAGTTTTAGACATTTTTTGGATTTAATACTTTTTATTCACTGCAACAAGTCAAGGACAGGTAATGTACATTTCTGGTAGAATGTCCCATAAAACCTTTTTGAAACCTGCTTCTGCAAATGTCAGGTGTCCATTTTGATCAATGCCATAAGTGGCATTTTATGCAGCCACAGTTTTACTGAAACCACAACCACTGATACCACGAAAATCAAGGGAGATCCATGATATGAAAGAGGTCTTTTCTGGGCCTCCACCTGAAGTCAAACCACAGAAAAGAGCTCATGTTTAATACCTTTAATGCATTTAAAATTGGTCATACTTGTATTATTAGGCTGGTTGTCCCTCAGCCAGAACACTGGAGTCAGACATTGTCCTGCTTCACCCCTTCAGGGGAATCCAGATATAAGTGATTCATTAAAAAGCAGTGAGTGATTTTCTGCTTTTATTTGATTGTTTTGGTCATGTTAACAGCGTAGACAGCAGTATAGGTATTATGCTGCTGTCACTTCCCAGCAGGCACACAACATCATGGTTTGGTTAAAAACCAAAATTCAATGTCAATTCAACGTCTAAAATCATTGTTAATTTGATGTCCAATACCGACGTCAGCTGATGTTGATATTTGTTGTATTTAGGTTGTGTAACCAAAATCCAACGTTAAAGGAACACTCCTCTATTTTTGAAAATAGGCTCATTTTCCAACTCCCCTAGAGTTAAACAGTTGAGTTTTACCGTTTTCGAATCCAATTAGCCGATCTCCGGGTCTGGCAGTAGCACTTTTAGCTGTAGCTTAGCATAGATAATTGAATCTGATTAGACCGTTAGCATCTCGCTCAAAAGCAGGCGCAATGATATTACGCATCGCCTGAAAATAGTCCCCAGCACGCTCCCTGTGCAAGCAGGTGGTCACGTTGGTTATGCTGATGGAAGTTAGTCTATTTTCAGGCACTGCATAATATTATTGCGTTTGCTGCACCCATGGTACGGCAGCAGAGTTCCTTGATTATTATGCCAGAATGAGAGTATAGCTCCTAGCCATATCGGCCTAGAAAATCGCAACTTTTCATTTTCCGTCGGTCTCTAAATAGGAAAAATATCTAAACTCTTTGGTCATTTTTAGATGTCTAAACAGTCTAATAAGATTCAATGATCTATGCTAACACAGCTACACAGCTCTAATATAAGCATGCGATTTCTTTCCCAGCTGTTTACCTTCACAGACAAAACCGACAGTGTTTTTGTAACTTATGTGTGTCTTTAACATGGACTTGCGTGTAATTAATGGTTTAAGCACAATAAGACATGAAAGAATTGCGTGTGCTTCGGATGTGTGTGCTTTGAAAACGGTATCAGAAGTTTAAACCGATATTTTTTTAAAACGCGTGATTTCAGCACGATAGAGTGATAATCAAAACCAAACAGATGTTTTTTTGGCAGATAATCTAAAGCAGGAGCTGTAAAGGCACAGTCCTATTCTGGAAAAGGTGGCAGGGAGCAGCAGCTCAATTGCATTTAAAGATACATGCAAAAGTTACACTATGTACAGTAGAGTTGTTTTGATAGATAGATAGATAGATAGATAGATAGATAGATAGATAGATAGATAGATAGATAGATAGATAGATAGATAGATAGATAGATAGATAGATAGATACCCCACCAACAAAGCTGTTACAGCTGGATTAAAGATGTTCACAGAATGTTCACAGAACTGAGGAGGATCTCACACCAACAACGAGACAGAGCAATAGAAAGAAAATGATCAAGACAGATCATGCTTATAG